TTTTATCGTTAATTTCAATCTTTTTGATGCTTTTTGTGTGTCTTTCCTGGATATCCTGAATTTTTGTATCATGTGACAGACTGTAAAGACCATGAATATCCTTGATTTATTTCTGATTTTGAAATAATTCATGTACTGCATCTCCACTCATATAACATTTGCTAGTTTTAAAATAGATGTACTTTACAAGTTACTAATTACATGGTTTTTTTTTTCTTTAAAAGCCTTTAAGAAATATCAAAATTGAGGGGCTGGGAATTTAGCTCAGCGGCATAAGCACCTGCCTTGCAAGCAGGCAGTCGTGAGTTTGATCCCTGGTACCGATAAAAACGAAAAAGACCAAAAAAAGAAATATCAAAATTGAGTTTTAGAAAATATTTATATCAAGATTGAAATAATGCTGTCAGTTCTTTGTGTTTTTTTCTGATAAGTTCCACCATAGCTTTATTGTGTTGAGTCATCCTTAGACCAGGTGAAAAGACACAACTTCATTAACACTGCCACTTTTTTAGGCATGTGGAACTTAGATTGAACCTGCATCATTCAGGCTAGGGACCCATGCTTCAAATTAGCTACATGTAAGTATGAAAAACTGTTTTCAAAAACACCCTTATATTTCACTAGGTAAAGTTCTAGCCGATTTGAAAATTTGCATACATATTTGTAATAGGCCTGTATTTGCCTTTTCTTACCTACTGTCTGGATTTACATAAAGATTGTATTACCCTGGTGACATAAGTTGCAGAAGTTTCTTTGTCCTTTTTTATTAGAAACATTTGAGGCCGTGTTTGCTGAATATACCATATTTATTATAATGTTCATATATGCGTATATTTGCTATACATAATAAATATTTATCCTGATAAACTGGTTTGTGTACATTTGGCATCTTGATACATGTCTGAAAAGTTTCAGTGAGTCACTGAAAAACCCACTGCAATATGAGTCTATGAAGGAAGAAATTTTTTTTAAGTTATTACTTTAGGGGGCTGGAGATTTAGCTCAGCAGCATAAGTACCTGCCTTGTAAGCAGGCGGTCGTGAGTTCGATCCCCAGTACCGATAAAAATGAAAAAGACAAAAAAAATTATTACTTTGGATGCTTTCCAATTTATTTCATTCTACACTGTCTGCCTCTTCTGTTGCCTAATTTGTAATTTTGTACATTTATTTTTCCAACATCTAAAATTAATTAAATGATGATTTTGTTTTACTTTCTTTCATAAATATTTTATTTTTACTTTCTTTAATATTTTATTTTTACTTTCTTTTACAAATATTTTACAAAAGTGTGACAATTTACATTTATTCACGGGGGCATTGAAGGGGCTAATTCAAGGGGATCAAGAGGTGATGGCCAGTATGGGTCACACAGTTAGATCCTTTCACAGAAACTAACATATTTATTATCCTTATATTTTTTCTCAGTTTCATAGTGTGTTTTCCTGTTGCCTCTTGTTAGTGTCTATTCATTATCTATTCATATATATGTACATAAATTATACATATATATGTATCTTTGTTCATTTTTTTTGTTTTGTGAGAGAGTCTCACCATGGATTCCAGGCTAGCCTCAAATTTGTGACAATTCTCCTCCTCAGTCACCCAAATTCTGGGATTACAGTTGAGTGTCACTATAACTGGCTGCTTTTCCAATACATTTACTCATGTTTCATAAGCGAATTATTGTGCTTTTGATCAAATGTTTTGCTAAATATATTTCTTAAAAGTTGTATATGTAACTGAAAGTGTCATCTTCCAAATATTGACATTATATGATAAAATCATTACATAATTTTATGCACAACTAAATTTATTTCATGAGTTTCTGTGGAAACTTCTTATTGGAATAATATATTTTGTAGCTAGGCATGGGAATTCATACTTGAAATCCAGCACTTCAGACAAAGATGCTTTGGAGGATCAGTAGCAGTCACAGGCCAAATTCACTACGTAGAGAGTTAAAGTCCTGCCAGAACTACATAGGGAGACGCTGACTAAATAATGGAAAACATTTTACATCAAAACCACGTGAGTGAGTTAATAATTAGTTTCATGTTAAACCGTATACTTGGTGTGACTAAAGTCCATTATTCCACAAATTCAATGAGACATGAAAACACATTGAATTATGTAGGTATTCTTTCGTATTACTTGTAATATTACAATCTACATAATATTTTTACTTTGTAATTGAAGCAACATTTCTTACGTGAAAGAATATTTTGTAAATGTTTTTTTCTTTTGAAAAAACATTTCTTTCTCATTTTATACATAGTGTAATTATGTCTAATACCTTTTGTCAGATTGTTTCTAAGTGACATAGAGTTAACAGTTTTTAACTGCATTTCTGACCCATGGTAAACTTGCCACCAAAACTATCTACATATGTATGTTAATGGAAATAGGTCTATTTCTTTTTTTTTTTCTTTCTTTTTTTTTTTTTTTTTTGTGGTACCGGGGATTGAATTCCTGACCTCGCGCTTGTTGCTGAGCTACATCCCCAACCTAAAGTAGGTCTATCTCTATCTGAGTAAAGATGTGATGTTTACTACTTGTATTTCAGGGAAATTTCTTAAGATATTTGCAATCCTCTGGTATTTTCATACCAATAAAACCTCCTTCTAAATTGTGACCCCCTTATTTTATTCTCCAAGAAACTGAGTTTGCAAATGTATAGTGTTCCCACCCTCCTTCATTTCAAAGGCAAATAAGTTATCTGGATTGAATGGTGAATATACAGGTTTAAAATAAGTCAAAATGTTGAAGTTCTCAATGAAAACATGAATACTCTTAGAGAACATATTATATTAAATGCTCAAATCAAATAGGTGTTTTCTATAATTTGCTCACTATGAGAAATACTATACCTGATCAACCATCCCTTTTTGCAGCTCCACAAATCTTTCTTACAGCCAGTTCAATGAAAACATGAATACTCTTAGAGAACAAATTATATTAAATGCTCAAATCAAATAGGTGTTTTCTATAATTTGCTCACTATGACAAATACTATACCTAATCAACCATCCCCTTTTGCAGCTCCACAAATCTTTCTTACAGCCAGTTCAATGAAAACATGAATACTCTTAGAGAACATATTATATTAAATGCTCAAATCAAATAGGTGTTTTCTAAAATGTGCTCACTATGAGAAATACTATACCTGATGAACCATGCCCCTTTGCAGCTCCACAGGTCTTTCTTACAAGCCAGTTACATGCTCAAATCAAATAGATGTTTTCTAAAATGTGCTTACTATGAGAAGTACTATACCTGATCAACCGTGCCCCTTTGCAGCTCTACAGATCTTTCTTATAGCCAGTTAGTTGTTTAACTTTGGGTTAAGAACTTAATATTTTGGTCTCTCATTTTTAGCTTTCACTACAGTGAAGGTTAAGGCTATGATAATTGTGTGAGTGGATGATTCAGCACTGTTTGTATGTCTGCCTTTTTTTGCACAACACTTCCAAGATGGATTTATAATGTGACATTTTTCAGGAAATCATTTATTTCTATGAATGAATAATATGGGAAGCTTAAAGTTTTGTTTATCCATCCATTGTGACTATTCCACTTATTTGTTTCTACCTTTTAGCTTTGATGGACGAGTTAAAAACTAAGTTACAAATATCAATGTAAAGTGAATTCTAACCTCTTAACTGTTGCAAGTTCACATTTCATGTCAGCAAAGAATGGAGACAGAAGGCAAGTTAGAATGTTCATGAAACCCAACAGCTCCTGTGAGCAGAAGGGGCAGCATGAAAGTGGGTTGCAAATGAGCCTCTAGGGGGTTTTATAGGTAAAATTGAGTTGTCCAGTGGTTTTGTGTACGGTAAAACCATTTCACATTACTTTGGATCAAGCTAAAATTATCCTACTGGATTTTAGTTCAGTTGCTTGACTAACATTGAAACAAGGCACGTAGCAAGTATTCATCAGCAGGAATCATTAATTTTGTTTATCTGTAACTTAGTGCATAAAAAAAGAGCAAAAGCATTTCTGAAAGGAGTAGGAGTAAGGGTCAGGGTGTTCTGGTCATCAACCTACTTGTTTGTTATAATATTCAGGCTTACTGGACAGAAAGCCCTAGTTATAACACAACTTTGAGCTGTTATTTGTCCTGAGGCTTGTGGGCCTAACCATCTTGTCTCCATCTGGTGGCCTGATTTTTATCAGCTCATCCATCACTACAGCCCCAGTTCACTTCATCTCAGAAGTGGCTCTGTCTTGGGCCTTCTCCCTTTTGTACTGCCTCTCAGTATTTACCTATCTGTAACTTCAACATTCATGAACAAATTTTTGCTGTGTATTTAGTCTTCATAACTCTAGTGCACATAACTAAGTTGTTAATGAGTAATATATAATTACGATTATATATGGATTTTCCATTCAAAATTTATGACAAAACCAAATTTCCACTGTTTAGAAAACTAGGTGAACACCTAGTTGTATTCTAATAGGTGAAATAGCAGAGTAAATGTAGTCAGTTGGGTTACATAGGAGGCAGTTAGAAACATGTAAGAGTTTTGGAGTTCTTATGATGAATGCAGGTCTTGAAACTGAGACCATGAGAGAAGAGCACCTACTGCACTCTTAGAATATCCTTATGTGATGCACAGTGTGGTGACCTTGAGTCTTTGTTAGCAAGAAAGACATTATCAGATTTAAATTTCCAACATTAGCCCAAAACTCTAAGCTAAGGTAAAACTTTGTATTATGTACTGCACATGAAGTATTTTGTTTAGACATAGAAATGTACTGGAAAATACCTTTGGGTTTCATATGTATAGAAAGTGTCATGATGTTGTCTAACATGACTGTCCATCTTCTATCTAAAATTACCGAGTTTTCTTCACATCTTCAGCAACAGTTGTTCTTCTGTGTCTTTCTGACTGTAGTCTACATAGTGGCATTTTATTATGATACAAAAAATTTGTCTCATGATGAATGACAATACAGTTTTTGTGATAGTTTGGATGCTGGAATAAAATCCAAGGAAGCAAGAAATTAAAATTTGGGGAGCAAAGGCTTTATTTTAGGCCAGGCCTGGTGACACAGCCTCCAGGAGCCAATATGGAGACTGCTCACCTTACTGCTAAAAGAGTTGGGTTTTAAAGCCGAAAACCACAGGAATATTGTGAACTTTGACCCAGTTTGATAACTTCCTTGTAGTTAAACGTTTCTTAAGGACAGCACATTGTATTGAAGGGTGTGACGGTATTACAAGAAACTGAAACAAAGCTTTTATGGGAAATGGAGACTTAAAAAGAATGGGGAGGTGAGGAGGCTTTACAAGGAGCTGAAATTTAAATCTTTACTGGAGATGGAATTTTAATCTCTATTGAAACAACACATACAGAACAGAAAGTAGATGAATTGTTTAGAACTAGGTTACAACATTCCCCTCTGATGTTGTGACTGAGGCCAATCCTTGGCCAGTTAATTTATCATTTATGTGGGAAGGACCATGATCTTTTTTCTATTGTATGTATACTTCAGCCCAGCTGGTGTCTTTAACTTTAGTGTAGCCTCCTTCACAATCACAGGGGTTCCCATACAAAGATCTCAACAATTGTTCTTTGCTTACAGGGGGACCAAAGCCACTGTGCAAGGCCAGCATCAATGTTATTAAAAATCCCAGCAGTGACACAGAAGGAGCAAAAGCAAGCAAGCTAAAGTTTATGACTGGTATAATCTAACTATGTTTAGTCAATTTTAACTTCAAGGGGTCACCAGTCTGTTGTATAGTCCACTGAGTATTTCCCTCATTGTCCAATGTTTCCAGTGGCTTTACGTGAGTGTGCTGAATCCATGCAGATTTTCCTGCTACCTTGATGGCAGTGGGGGTACTGAGCATGACGGTGAAGGGTCCTTCCCAACAGGGTTTGAGGGAGTCTCGATGGTGATGTCACACTAGGACAGAGGTTCCTGGCTTGATTGGTGCTTTGAGTGGCATCTCTGAAGGTGGGTCCGGGTGTTTTTGTCTAAACAGCTGGTGGATCGAGGCCAACACAGGCTGGAGTGTCTGCAGGGACTTAATGAGATCTTGGTTAGTTATTTCAACTAATTTGTCCTCTGACAGTCTTTGGAACAGTGGAGGGGGTCTGCCAAACATAGCCTCAAAGGGGGAAATTCCAGAAACATATGGGGTACACCTAGTTCTTAACAGCACAAAGGGAAGAAGGCTCACCTAATTATCACCAGTTTCTAAAGGCAGCTTGGCTAAAGTGTCATTGAGAGTTCAGTTCATACATTCTACTTTCTCTGAGCTTTGTGTCTGATAGGCACAGTTGAGTTTCCAATTAATCTTTAATGCCTGGGCTAACTTTTGGGTGTCTTGGGCTATGAAAGCCAGGCCATTATCGGACCCCATTGATAGTAGGAGGCCAAATCGGGGTATGATCTCATGGAATAGCTTTTTAACTACCACTAAGTCTGACTCAGAGTTAGTAGGGAAAGCCTCTATCTACCCAGCCGGTGAAGATGTCTACTAATACCAAGAGATCTTGGTGCCCCTGTAAACCGGGCTTTACCGTGTATGTGAAGTCTACTTCTCAATGTTCTGGAAAAAACTCCTCAGTGTCAGGTGGTATCCAGCATAGAGCTCTTGGCTGAGTTGACTAGCAAGCACTGTGGGCATCTGGAGCTCAAAGATATGGTCAGTTTTGAGAGTTTCGGAATAAAAAACCGAGTGCTGAACAATTCAGCAAGTTTAGTTCCCCTTAAATGGGTATTTTGGTGAGCCTGGTGTAACAGCTCCTGCTCTAGTGCCTCCAGTAACAGTGCTCATTTATCAGGTAACTGGTTCCAGCCCCCTGGGGTGAGGGACTTTCGTCCAAGTTGAGATGCTAACTGTAGGTCTTTGTGTAGGTTGGTTCTCACAAGGTTGGAGGGGCTACCATCAAAGCAGTTACTTCCTCAGTTGGCCCCCTGATGTGGTTGCTATTTTTCAAGCAGCTTGATCTGCCAAATTATTTCCTAAGGTGACAGGGTCATCTCCTGTTGTTGAGCCTTTCAATGAATAATAGCCGCTCGTTGAGATAGCCAGACAGCTGCCAGCAAGTCTAGAATCTTTGGAGCATTTTTAATCTTAGTCCCGGTGGTAGTTAAGAGACCTCGCTCCTGATAGATGGCTCCATGTACATGTACAGTAGCAAAAGCATACCTACTGTCAGTATAGATGTTTACCCTCTTTCCTGTTGCTAGTTTTAGCACCTCAGTCAAACAATGAGCTCCACCTTTTGGGCAAGCTCTAACCACTTAACCCAGAGTACCTTCTTTTCAGTGGTCACTGCTGCCCTGGCCACTCGTTTGCCATTCTGGATGAAGCTGCTTCCATTGGTGAAATAGTTGGCATTTCCCAAAGCTGGTCAATAAGATCAGCCTATAGATTCTGCTGCAGTTCAAGGATGTCAGCCCACTCAGGGAGAGGTGCCCTTTGTTCCACCACTTTGTTGTCTGGCATAAGGGTGGCTGGGTTTAAAGCTGAAGAAGTCTTGAAAACTACTGACTCTGGGTCTAGAAGCAGGGCCTGATAGTGTAAAATTCTAGCATTCGAGAGCCATTTTTAGGGAGGGGTTTTGATAAGAATCTCTAAACTGTGTGAGGTCACTACAGAAATCTTCTGTCCAAAAGTGAGTTTTTAAGCCTCTTTTAGTAACATTGCCATAGCAGCTATGATTCTTAGACAAGGGGGCCATCCACCTGCCACTGGATCAAGCCTTTTGGGGAAGTAGGCTATAGGCCTCTTCCAAGGGCCAATGTCCTGGGTTAGGACTCCTTTGGCAATGCCCCTGAGTTCATCTGTGAACAAATTGAATGGCTTGGTAATGTCAGGGAGTCTCAGGGCTGGAGCCTCTGTTAAGGCCCGCTTGAGCTGCTGGAAGGCCTGTTCACATTTTTCTGTCCAGTTTAATGACTTCTGAGTCTCTCCATTTAGGGAGTAATACGATGAGTGGGCTATTTCAGTAAAATTTAAAATCCATAGCCTACAGTATCCTACAGCTCCCAGAAACTCACATACTTGCTTTTTGGTTCCTGGGGCTGGAATCTGTAATATGGCCTGGATTCTTTCTTTGGATAAAGTCCTTTTTCCTTCTTGCAGTTTGTAGCCGAAATAGGTCACAGTCTGGCAGCACAATTGGGCTTTTTTGGCTGAAACCTTATAGCCTAATTGCCCCAAGGTCTTTTACAGCTCCTCCATTGCTTCCTTACAGGATGCTAAGGAGGATGAGGCTACCCATAAGTTATCTACATACTGCAGGAGCACTGTCTCAGAGTATTCTTCCTTAAACTCAAAGAAATCTCTGGCTAATGCCTCATCAAAGAGGGTAGGCAAGTTCTTAAAGCCCTGAGGTAAGCGAGTCCAGGTCAGCTGCTCCGTTAGCCCTGAATCTGGGTCAGCCCATTCAAAGGCAAAAAGGGGTTGACTCACCGGGGCGAGAGGCAGAGTGAAAAAGGCATCCTTGAGGTCCAAAATGGAGTACCAGGTGTTATCTGGGTTGAGGAGGCTGAGTAAAGTATAAGGGTTAGGTAACATGGGGTGCAGAGTCAATGACCATCTATTAACTACTCGGAGATCTTGTACAGGGTGGTAGTCAGTCGCCCCTGTTTTCTGGACTGGAATTAGAGGCGTTTTCCATGGGGAGACACACAGAATAAGGATACCATTGCCCCTTAGTCTCTGAATGTGAACTTTCATTCCCTGTTGGGCTTGTAGGCTTGTTGGATAATGACACAAACAAATGGGATGCGCTTGGGGTAGAAGCTCCACCACAAGGGGCACTTGATAGACTGCCAACCCTGGGGGGTTGGTTTCAGCCCACACCTCTGGAATTTCTTGTTTCCATTTGTCTAATAGCTCTAGCTCCAAATCTGTGGCTGACTACTAAGGCATACTGGACAAGTTTCTCAGTGGGTGGTAATTTTCCCCTTCTGGGACAAGAGCTAGTATTCTGATGCCTTCAGGGTCTGGGGTTGAGTCTGTCCCCTGTCTTAGCCCTGGCTCCTTTGTAAAGAAATCAATTTGCACTTGCAATTTAAGGAGGAGGTCTCATCCTAGGAGAGGGTCTGGGCACTCTCGTACCCATAGAAAATCATGTTGGACCAGCTTATGTCCAGGTCGAACCAAACTAGCTGTCACTTTTGGGTACTTTTCATCCCCCTGAAGCTCCTATCACATTAACCGAGTCCTTGGTTAGCTTTCCTAAGGATTGGGTTAGCACAGAATAGGTTGCTCCTGTATCAACCAGGAAGTCCACCAGTTGCACCCCCACTTGAAGAGTTATACGGGGCTCAAGGGGTGGCAAGGAGCCCTGACCTCTTCATTGAGACAACAGGGCCTTTGCTTCTTTCTCTAACTTCACCTTTAGCATTGGGCAATCTTTACACCAATGTCCCATCTCTTTGCAGTATGCACATTGTTCTATATCTAGAGGAGGTCGCTGACCTTGGGCCTCCATCTTGTTAGCATTGGCTGATCTCTTAGTTTCTTTTTCACACAGCAATTCTAACACCTTGGCCATTTTTTGATTTGTGGCTTCCTGCAAGATCTCTCTGTTTTCAAAGACCTTTTGTGCTATCTCTACTGGTGGAGGGGCACCCCTTCAAATCTCTCAAGCTTTAGTAACTTTTTCCTAACATCAAGGGCTAACTGTGACATGAAAGCAATATTAATTGTTTGTGTGTTTTTGGGTGCCATTGGATTAATTGGTGTATGTAATCTATATACCTCTAAAAGGCACACTAAAAACATAACAGGAGATTCATCGGCTAATTGTCTTACCTCAGTGACTTGAGATAAATTGATAGGCTTCTTGGTGGCAGCATGGAGCACGTCTAGACGCCTCAGGTGATAATCATCGAGATCCCACTTACCTTCACCTGTATTGGGGTCCCAGTTAGGTTGGGAGGAAGGGAACAGGTGTTCAGTTCTCTGCTCATCATTGGATATAGATCCGCTCTGTTCTCAAACTTCTTTTTGCCCAAGTGCAAAAGTGCAGTCTCTCTTTGGCCATGAAGAGGATGTGCAGGATCTGTTGGCAATTGTCCCAAGTGGGGCAATGGGTGGAGAATACAGATTCTAAAAGGTTAATCAGATTTTCAGGGTCCTTAGAAAATGGAGGACTTGGGGCTTTCCAATTATAAAGGTCTGAAAGTGAGAAAGGGGTGTACATAAACATTGAGCTCCTGTCTGGCCGAGGGACCTCCCGTAATGGACAAAATGGAGCTGCCTCAGAGCTTTGCTCTGAAGACGCCTCAGGCCATGTGTGTTGACGGGTGCAAATGGGAAGTAGTGTGGATGGAACAGTTGAGTCAGGTTGAGGGTCAGAGTAGGGTCAGAAGGGGAGGCAGTGAGAGTGCCTCCAGCTGTTCAAGGGGGTCTTCTTCGGAGGCAGGACCAGAAGCATGGTGGGATCAGAAGGCAGTTTCTTGGGTTTCACTTTTGGTTTAAGGGCCACAATGACTTTGTTGCAAGAGGGATTAATCCAGGAAGGGGCATCATAATTTATGTCTACCCAGATCTGAATATAGACAATTTGGTCAGGGTGAGCAGGGGACCCAAAAACATACCAGCAAGCAGCTTGTGCTGTCTCCATGTTGAAAGACCCGGAGGGGGCCAAACCTGCTGGGTCCCTAATGGCCATTCCTGTTTGACAAAATTTGTTAATCTGGCTTTACCCCTCAGCCCGCCCCTTGAATTCCTTGAAGTGATCCAGCATAAGGCTACGGGGTGTGCTGAATTTAGATTCAGCTTGCCCCATGACCAGCAAAGATGTCGGTTTCTTTTTTCTTTTGTGGGAGAGTCTAAGAGACAAAAATAAGATTAGGAGAAAGAGACAGAACAAAAATAAGATGCAAATAATTGTCAAAATCCCTTTGTCCATTTTGGGCTCATAGAAGGGGTTTCTAGGAGAAAATGTGTTGTTAGATTTGGGTAACCAAAAGGAGAACAATTAGGACAAATGCACACACAGACAGACATCAAAGACAATACAAACTGCAGCAAAAATGCCCTTTGCTCAAAAATTGGCCAAATTTTGGAAGTGGTCAAATTTTGGGATCTAGAGGAATTAACAAGTTAAACAATGGAGCAGATCTCCTCCCGGGCAGAGTCACAAATGGATGAAATTCATCTAAAAAACCAATTGATTCTGTCCTCGGGAGGTTCCCACTCCCCAAATTGAGGGGGTCCCCTCCCAAAGTGCGAACTGACTGTGGTCTAATTAAGCCCTCCAGAGTACTTACTTTTAGGTGTTCAGAATTGAGTCGGGGGTCTTGCTTCCACCCCAGATGAGTCCCCAAATGTGAAAGCTTGTACCCTGGAATAAAATCCAAGGAAGCACAAAATTAAAATTTGGGCAGCAGAGGCTTTATTTTAGGCCAGGCCTGTCGACACAGCCTCCAGGAGCCAATATGGAGACTGCTCGCCTGACAGCTAAAAGGGTTGGGTTTTAAAGCCAAAAACCACAGGAATGTTGTGAACTTTGACCCAGTTTGATAACTTCCTTTTAGTTAAATGTTTGTTAAGGACAGCACATTGTATTACATATAGGCTGAAGGGGATGGAGGATTACAAGAAACTTAAACTTAAAGCTTTTATGGGAAATGGAGACTTAAACTAAAAAGAATGGGGAGGCAAGGGGGATTTACATGGAGCTGAAACTTAAGTCTTTACTGGATAATTTTAATCTCTATTGAAGTGGCACATACAGAACATAAAGGAGGTGCATTGGTTAGAACTAGGTTACAACAGGTTTAACAGCTACAAATCCATGAATTGTTTCATCTTAAAGAAAATTGGAATTTTTATTTTATTTCTAAGGTGAAAATATTGCGAGGTGACATTGGTTAACTTTGTTCTCTTTGTTTTTTATTTAGAAAGAAAGAGAAAATTGTACAAAATAACCTGTCTTAAAATCTGAAAAGAAGAGTGAAATAAGAGCCATAGTTTGCCACAGGCGATTCATTGATGAACCTGGTTGATAGAATTTTTGGTGCAGCTAAACAGATAATAAATATGAAATAAAAGTAGCCTTTATTTTAAGAATGTGGACAGAAACCCCATGACCTCCATGGTCTGGCTTTCTCTCTGCTGGACACTTGGTGTGGGGGCATACATATAGCTTAGGTTTGGGGTGGTGCCTAAGGGGCATTACTGAAGCACAGGTAGCCCATTGGAATTCATTTCATACCATAGGTAAATTGCCTAGGGGCGGGAAAGATGACCTCTAGATAGAGCCCCTCCCATTCTCCCACCACTGCAGCTTCCCATTCAGGGCAAAATCCTTTCATTAGTGTTCTCGAAAACACTATGTGGGAAAGTATGAATGTAAAGAAGAGTGAAATTTAGGTCAGCATCCGTGCAATGACTCAGCCCTACAAGTGTTCTGTTCTTAAAGTTTGAAGGGAGGCACCGGTGTGAGACAGTGGAAGAGAGCCCTGTAGAGATTGGCTTAACCAGCTGCTGTGACTCTCTGAGCTAAAATAAAGCTCTTCATAATTTCCTGAGTCTCAACACTTGTGCTTACAAAACGAAACAGTATGTGCATCAAATTTTTCTTAGAAGATTCTTGATTACATAATGCCTTGTATTAACATTGAGATTTACACTCAAAACCTTGAGTTGAGTGTTCATGAAGTAAATAACTTGCAAAGCACTTTCCGATTTGATGTCTTTACCACAGAAATTTACAAGGAGAAAAAGAATTGAAACTATTAAAGTCAAATCAGAATCTAAAATTGATATCTACGTTTCCAAGTACATTGAAGAATTAATTCTCAATAGGCCTGAATAGCATTCAGTTCATTCAAATGGATGCTAGAGAACTTTCAAGAGGTGTAAGAAAATAGCTGACACTTTAAAATGACAATAGATGTATTTTTGCTCAAATTTGGAAGTTTTAGGCCTTGGTCATCCTCTTTTATTGCTTGTAGCAAGACAGAAACCTCACAGTAGAGGAGCATAGTGAAGAACTCTGACCACCCTTATTTAATCCAGGGATGAAAGATGGAAAAGGGACACAGAAAGATAGATAAGGAGGAGTGAAATATATTATTGTAGAGAATACTCCTAGTGATCTTCCTCTAAAATACATCAGCTATTCTCCTGAAGAGATCAAAATTTGCCTGTTACACAGCACTTCAAAATAGCCAGTTATAGTACCTTGAAACAAAGCTTATAAAACATTTCACTCTGAAAATCTTTTACCTCATACCATTGTAGGAATGCATAAGAATAGCCTGACTTATAATACAACAATACTAGTCTCAAAAAGGATAGGCTACATTTTTTGATAATTTTTATTTTGAAAAGAATACTACCAAGCAAAATAAAACAATACAAGTAATCAAAACAAAACAGTTTAAGTGATAGAGGACTTCAAAGCAAGATAATACAGAATCAACAATAGTTAATGGTTACCATAATACATCTTGTCTTCAAAATAGCTGCCCATACCATAGTAAAAAATCAAACAAAATAGAACTAATAAAAACAAAACAAGGAGCACAAAAAAGGACTTCAAACAAGATAACAGTAAGTCCAAAATGGCTACCATAGTATATCTTACTTTCTTTGAAATAGCTGCCCATATCATTGGATATAATAAACAATCAAAACAGTGAAAATGACACAGGACTTCAAAACAAGATAATAGGTAATTGAAAATGGCTTCCACTTTCAGAAGATTCCTCATAGATGCTACATTGCATATTGTTATCCTCTGAATACATAATAAGAGTTTAGGCCTGAAAAGTCAGTCAAATAATAGACACTACAAGCATCAAGTTGTGTTTTCCCTTCATAGTTATCATCACAGCCTGTTTCTCTGGATCAACCCGGTGCTTACCATGGGAAGAGGTGTCTTTGGCTCTTGTTTCCCAGCCTGTGCAGGAAGGGGCTGGCATCTAGTTCTCCCTGCAGCAACGCACGCATGGCACCAACTCATAGGAAGAGCTTGGCTTTTTGTTGGCTTCTTGTTCTCCCCACCGGTCTGCGAATGGTGCTGATTCTGGAGAAAAGGCTGGTGTCTCTACGTTGCCTTTCTTTTATTTTATTTTTTTTTTATTTTAAAGAGATTAAGATAAAAGAGGACATAAAGCAGATGAACAGAACAATTTAAGCAACACAGTATTTCCCCACAAGACAACCTGATGCATCAGTAGGTACTGTAAATAATATCTGTTTCCTTGAAATAGTTGAGTATTCCTTCTTATGCAATAGTATCAAACATAAGAAAATAGGATATGACCATTATAGGGAATGAAAGCATTACAGGGCATTCAGAAACAAATAATAGAAAATGAACAATGGTTTCGATATTATCTCATTGTTCATAAAAGATTTGTTTATAGTATCACACACAATGTAATCCAATAAGATACAACATGATAGAATCAATAGAAATAGAGCAACAAAAGCACAGTAGGACTTCAATACAAGATCATATTAAATCAACACTGGCTATTATGATGCCTGGTTTCCCTCAAGATAGTTGTTCATAGCATTACAGATAATAAAAAAATCAAACAACCCAGACAAAAAACCATTCCAACTAATGAATGGGAACCTTATAAGGCTTCAAAGCAATGTAACGGGGAATCATGGTTACCATAAACTGTTACATACTCTTACCATTACTTAAATAGGGAGACAGTACAGTATTCAGGTATTCATACTTATGAGTTTGATTTATTTCACTTATGAATATGGTCTCAAGTTGCATCCATTTATTTATAAATATCTCAATGTGATCATTGTTTATAACTGAGTAGTACACCAATGTGTAGAATACCATCTTTTTATCCATTTCTCAGTTGTTGGACACTTAGGTTGTCTCTAGGATTTGGCTACTACAAATTGTGCTGCCATAAACATGGGTGCACATATATCACTGTGGTATGATGATTTCAGTTCTTTTAGAAATATGCCTAGAAGCTGGATTAAATGGGACTTCCAATCCCAGCATTTTGAAAAATATCCATTCTAACCTCCACAATGGTTACACTTGTCTACACTCCCAACAACAGTGCAGGAGAGTTCTTTTTTCCCCACAAACTCTGCAGCATTTGTTTGGTAGTTTTCTTGATCCTGGCCATTGTTTCTGGAGTGAGATGAAGTCTCTGTGTGCTTTTAATTGGCATTTCTTTCAGGACTAGTAGTGATGAACATTTTTTCATGTATTTAACATTTTTATTTCTTCATCTGACAACTCTGTATTTATCTCAGAAGCCCATTTTTGGATTGGGTCTTTGAATTTAGGGCGTCTGATTTTTTAAATTCTTTATATGCTTTACACAGAAGTCCTTTGTCTGAGGGACAGTTTACTTAAGATTTTTTTCCAGTGAGTGGGATTTCTTTTCACTATGCTGTAGATTTCTTTTGACATGCCAAAACGTTTTAATAAGAGACGATCCCAGGTATTGATTCTGGGAAGTATTTCTCATGCTGTTTGATTCCTGTTCATGAATTCTCTAACTACTCCTATGTCTGCAAGGTTTTTACCCAATTTGTCTTCCAAGTGATTTAGTGTTTCGCTTTGAATATTCACATCTTTGATCCATTTAGACTTTAGTTTAGTAAATGGTGAAAGGTATGGGTCTAGTTTCAGTTTTTGCCATATGGAGAGCCAGTTTTTCCAGCACTCTTTATTAAAGAGATTGTCGTTCTTCCAGTGAACATGTTTGATCCCTTTATCAAAGATAAGGGGGTTTGAGTGTGTTTCTATATGTGGTTGTATCTTCTAATCTATTGCACTGATCTTCAGATCTATTTTTATTCTAAAACCATGTTGATTTTATTACACTTGCTTTTTAGTATAACTTCAAGGAGGGATTGTGATGCCTCCTGCCTTGCCTTTGCTGCATAGAATTGTCTGCTATTCTAGTCTCTTCTGGTTCCAAATATGTTTTAGGAGTGATTTCTCTAGATCTCTGAGGTATGTTGATGGTATTTTCATTGGAATTGCATTGAATCTGTATAACAGTTTTGGGAGAATGGCTACTTTCACAATATTTATTCTTCCTATCCAGGAATAGGGGTGTCTTTTCATTTTCTGAGATCCTCTTCGATTTCATTTTCAGGGTATTATAATTTTCCCTGTATAGGTATTTTCCTACTTTCGTGAGATTAATATCTAAGTATTTCATTTTTCTGGATGTTAGTGTGAAGAGTGTGGCTTCTCTTATTTCTCTCTCTGTGATTTTGATGTTAGTGTATAGGAATGCTATTGATTTTTGAGCATTGACTTTGTATCCAGCTACATTGCTGCTTGTTTTATTATATCTAGGAGACTTTCAATGATGTTTTGGGGCTCTTCTATGTAGAGTAGCATGTCACCTGCAAATGATGATAATTTATCTTCCTCTTTTCCTATCTTTACCCTCTTTATTTCTCTCTTGTCTAATTG